CCTGCTTGGCCAGCTGCGCAGCGCGGGAACGCCCCAGCTGGGCTGCATGGAGCGTCAGGACAAGCTGCGTGGTTCCCAGCCTCCCTGCCTGCCCCAGGGGGGCACCGCCGCCTCCCAGCCGTCGCCAGGCAACCAGGCCGAGGGGCCCCGCAGGCCGAGTGGGGAGAGGGGCTGGGCCGGGACTGCGGGGTTCTTGGAAAGGAGGGGCCGCGGTCCTGGATTCCTCGGTCTTAGGAGGTTTGCAGCCATAACAAGGGAACAGCCCTCTGTTCCCCACTTTGAGGAGGGGTTTTGAGGCTGGGGGAGTCAAGGCAGGGGTCCCAACTGTCCCCCAGGTATCGGCGTGCCCTCTTCCCGACCCGCAGGCCAAAGGAGCCCCGGACCCCGCCTCCCCAGGGCGCGGAAACTGGCGAGGCCCCAGGGGCCCCCAATTATAGCTCGGTTTCCACTGAGCGCAGTCCCTCCAGGACCTGGGCTGAGCAAGTTTCTTCCACTCTTTCCCTTCCCTCCTCCTCACCCCCATGCCTGCCCCTCAACCTCGGCAGGGCGCAGGTGTCCAACCCAGCCGGGACCCCCTCCTGGAACCCAGGTGTTCCGGCTCCCAGACCCCAATTGAACTGGGGGCGCCCACCCGGGGGACCCCGCCCTGCATCCCCCATTCATCCGCGTCCAGCCGCGGGAGTTTCTCAATGGGAAGAGGGCGGAGCTCCCAGGAGGCGGACCCGGGCGGGGCGAGCTGGATCGGGCCCTCTTGGGGTCTCCCAGAGACCCAGGGCGCGGAACTGGCAGGCGTTTCAGAGCGTCAGAGGCTGCGGATGAGCTCACTTGGAGGACTCCAGGCCATAGACGGGTTCTCTAGGCTGGGGCGAAGAGTCGAGCGCGAAGGGGGCTCTGGGCCAGGGTGACAGGAGGAGTGCTTCCGAGGAAGAAGTTGACAGGGAGGCCCATGTGACTGCAAATCTCGTGAACCTTGGGGGACACACGCTCAGAATGCGGGTCCCCGCCCTCCTCCTCCTGCTCTTCTGCTTCAGAGGGAGAGCAGGTACCGCAGGAAGGGAGCCGATGAATATGGGATGGGTGTGGGGGGATTGCTTGCGGGCTGCCCCTTCACTAGGGAGAAGGGAGTTGGGGGCTGGGACCCCTGGGTCCTGAATGA